ATATATATATACCAACACATATTTTCAATATACCATCCTGGGTCTCCGTGAAGCAGTGTGAGGGATCATGGTGAGATGTATAGATGTGTACGTAGTGTCCCTGTGATCGAAAAGCTAATGCAGCGTCAACTACGAGCCTTTCTGCACCGCCTATTCCTAAATCAGGGTGAGCAAATGCCACCCGTAAGTTATCTCTATGTTTTAGTGGAGGTGCACGGTTCTGCGAGTACTGTTTGTATACGTAAATGAGGCTTATAGTTGATATGATTATCGTGCCAAGAGTGAGAAGAAGTATGTCCAGAAGCATTGTTCCGTGTTGTTATAAAACGATATGCATGAGTGTGTGTGTATATAATCGTACACGTGCTGCGCACACTGTTCTTTGAGATTTGCTATCAGCTATTCATATATTGATTCTGCTTTAAACATACTACTACGAAAATATATATAGAATATTTACAGATAAACCCTATCGTCTATTTCACACGTAAATATCTATATGAATACCTGTTGCTTAGGAGGCTATGAAATATCTGTGATTTATTTACGCGCCATCGATAGCCTTGCCCTATTTTGGACATACTTTGCACAAACCCTGCCAGCGCCCAGCAGGCTGCCGCTACACGAGAAACCCAACAGCCATTGTGAGGTAAATCATTGGTCGAGGTAATTTTTTATTACTAGGCCGTTCATCTCTGTATTGTCATACACATATATGCGAGTTTATTTGTGTATCCGTGTAGTCCGTCAGGTATCATATCGTTATTAGGTGTGGTTTCTGCGAGTACTGTAATCTCGGCACTCTCCTCGTAGGATAAGAGCTAGAGGTACGTGCCGTTTATTAACTTTAGGTCCAGAATGTTTTTGTACCCGGCCCGGAGCCTGTACAGGACAGTCGCACACTGTGTTGAGCTATCCGCTGTACGTGGGTACTTTGGGGCAAATAACTGCAAATCTACATTAAGTGATGTGCGTGTCAGTGGTAGGAGACACTGTGCCGCTGTGAACAATGGCAACGCCAAGAGCACACATACGACGGTGAAACAGACTGCAGGAAAATCGCTCGTTCAAGATGCGACTCACATCGCTGCGAATGAGGACCACGTCCTGAAAAAGGCCATAGACAAAGGGTGTTTGCTGTGGGTGTCTGGTATAACCACACCCAAGAAAGGTCCGTATGATTTGTTATGGCACTTTGCCCAGACATTCGAAAGCAGGGGTGTTTCGGGTTCAGGGATTCCGAATTATGAAGATCGGATTTTACGCTTGGCCAAGGAGGTTGCGGAGATTAAGATGATTGTGCCACAGGCGATTGAGGGCGGAGTGTATGTAGTAGTTGGTTCCAAGGCCCAGGGAGCTGCGCTCATTCGACGCATTGGGTATGGCTCGGTATTCATGT